CTTTTTCCCTGTCTATTTTGTCTATTTCTAGACTCTGGCGTTCCCTTTTCCATCCTGTCTATTTTGTCTATTCTTAGACTCTGGCGTTCCCTTTTCCTTTCTATTTTATCTTTTTCTAGACTCTGGGGTTCCCTTTTCCTTGTCTATTTTGTCTATTTCTAGACTCTGGCGTTCCCTTTTCCATCCTGTCTATTTTGTCTATTCTTAGACTCTGGCGTTCCCTTTTCCTTTCTATTTTATCTTTTTCTAGACTCTGGGGTTCCCTTTTCCTTGTCTATTTTGTCTATTTCTAGACTCTGGCGTTCCCTTTTCCTTTCTATTTTATCTTTTTCTAGACTCTGGGTTCCTTTTCCCTGTCTATTTTGTCTATTTCTAGACTCTGCGTTCCTTTTTCCCTGTCTATTTTTGTCTATTTCTGTCTCTTGTCTACTTTTGTCTATTTCTGTCTCTATGTCTGTTGCTGGGCTTTTGTAGAGTCCTTATTTCTAAATTATTTTATTTATGTGTTTTGTCGCTCTCTTCCGCGTCTCCCGCTTTCTGTCTCTATGTCTATTTCTGTCTAGACATACCTTATCTATTTCTCGATCTATATACATCTAATTTCTCGATCTATATACATCTCATATATCTATCTATATATCTATCTATATCTATATATATTTATATATATATATATATATATATATATATATATATATATATATATATATTTACACAAAACTAATTTTATCTCTATATTCATGTACTACCTATTTCTCCATTTACAAACATACCTTATCTATTTTTCTTTCTATATACATCTTATCTAGCTCTATCTAAACACCTATCTATCTCACCGTCTTTATATATAACCACACCCATGTTTATACTCATATGTTATCCATTTCACTACTTATATACATATCTTATCCATTTCTTTACTTGTATACATATTATCCATTTCTCTACTTATATACATGTCTTATCTATTCATCTATCTATACGCATATGTTATCTGTCTCTCTTCGCCTCCTTTATCGCTCCACGCCTCTTCCTCTCTCAGCTAACACCCTCCACAAAGGGAAGTGTTTGACGTTCCTTTCAGGGAATCTTTCGAGTGAAACAGAACTCATTTAGGGGCGGGGAGGGAAGGGAAGGGGAGGGAAGGGGAGGGGAGGGGAGGGGAGGGAGGGGGGGGGGGAGGGAAGGGAGGGGAGGGAAGGGGAGGAGAGGGGAGGGGAAGGAAGGAAGGGAAGGGAAGGGGAGGGGAGGGAAAGGGAAGGGAAGGGAAGGGAAGGGAGGGTAGGGGGGGAGGACTTAGGGGTGGTGGTTACCGAGAGGAAGGAGGAAGAGGGGAGGGGAGACATCCAGGGGAAAGGAGGAAGAGGGTAGGAAGGTAATAAGGTGAAGAGAGGAAGAGGGAGAGATTTACCCAAGGGAAAAGGAGAAAGAAAGAGAGAGTTATCTAAGGGGAAGGAAAGAAGAGGAAGTGATTTACCCAAGGGGAAGGGAATGACCCAAGGGAAAGGAAAGAAAAGGGAGAGATTCACCCAAAGGGAAGAGAGAAAGAAGGGAGGTAGTTACCCAAGGAGAAGTTAGGAAGAGAGAGAGAATTACCCAAGGAGCAGGTAGAAAGAAGGGAGGTAGTTACCCAGCAGAAGGTAGAAAGAGGGAGTTCCCCTGGGCAAGGAGAGGTAAAGGGAGGTTCCCCAAACTACCCCAAGGAGAGGAAGGAGAGAGAGGGGGGGTACTAAAGGAGGATAGAGAACCTGGGGGGATGGGGGGGGGGGGAGTGCGGAAGGCCACTAAATAAAATAGATCTCTCACAACCTGACGGAGGCGCTGAAGAATATGGCTGGTTATTCGGGTTGTGTTATTATTATTGTTGTTTTTTGAGTTTTATAGTTGTTCTCGTTTTTATTATTTTTTCTTGGCGTTAATATTGTGTCTATACTGTTTTTATATTTAATTAACGTCGAAAGTGACTAACAGTAAGAGTACCGAAATTAAGTACGTACAGAATATAAATAAGTATTGCATGGATTATGGTATAAGGTTTAAAGTGATAAAAAAGATAATAGTGATGATGACAATGATGATAATGATAACAATAATAACAAGGTAAATTGTAATTTTCAATACTTTTATCAATATTATAATAACTATATCACACTAATGGTGATAATGATAACAATATCGATGACGCATGAAATACTACCAATTTTAAAGATATGAACAAAAGCAATAATGCTAAAACAAAAACAAAACATGAAATAAAAAACAAAATGACAAGCATGATAGAAAATAATACAACATTAAAAAACAACGATAAAAAACAGGAGACAGAACAAGGAAAAAAAGAGACACAAAGAAAGAAAATAAACAAAGAACCAAACAAACGAAAAGACTCGCCAACAATGAAAATATGTTCACACTTTTTTGTTTGTTATCATGCAGGTGTTGCCAGATCCCGGAAATGCTTGTGTACCTCCAATACCTTCGTTTACTTAGACCAAACTGGCAAAAAAAGAATCTTGAACTTCCTTCTTTGCAGATCAATGCAAAAAAATGTTTAAAATCAAACAACCCAAAAAAAAGCTCCTGATTTTTTATGCTTGTGTGTGTGTGTGTGTGTGTATGTACGTGGTAGTATGTCTGTGTGCGTGTACGTTTTTTATCCGTATATACATATGCGTTTTTCTTTTATTCTCTCTCTCTCTGTTATATATACATATTTTTCTACCTTACATTCATTTATCTTTTATTTATTAGTCCAGCGAACTTACGATTCTCAGGTAAAAGGCGTTTGCGATTTTCTAACGAGACAAACGGACAGGTTTTTTGCGCCTAATAAGCAACCGGAGGGACGAGCGACCCGACAGGTAAGGCGTTTTGTGAAGGTAAAAGACGGGGAGGAAGACGAAGAAACCGATAGATAATTTGATAGATAGATAGAGATAGAGAGTCTGTGAGAGTAAAAGATTCATGGGTGGATAATGCGATTGAGAGGTAGAGAGAGGAGAGATGAAAGAAATGGAAGAATCTACGAAAAGAGAAGAAAAAAGGGGATGAAAGAAAGAGTATAAGAAAGCGAATAAGGAGAATTAGAAGATTAAGAAGACGAGGACAAAAAAGCAGAAGTAGATTATACAAAAAAGTAGAAAAAAGAAAGAAGAAAAAAAACTAGCAAAAAAAGAAAGAAGAGAATGAAAGAGAAGACGATTACAAAGCAGGAACAGAAGACCAAGATTATAAAGATGGCGACTGCGGACTTGGTAGCGGTGCGTCCGCCCTTGTAAACATTCCTCCAGTACTACAGGTCAAACCGGGAAGTAGACATGCACTTGTTTTCGGGCAGGCGTGTGGGTGCGTATATGTGGATATGTTTGCGGGTGTGTTTTTGTATGTGTGCGTTTATGATTTTTGTATGTGAGTGTGTATGTTTTATGTGTGCGTACGTGTGTACATGTGTTTTATTTGTGTCGGTGTATGTTTTATGTATGTTTGCGTGGTATGCTTTGTATGTGTGCGTTTATGCTTTCGTATGCGTGTATGTTTTATATATGTGCGTGTGTACATGTTTTATTTGTGTCGGTGTATGTTTTATGTATGTTTGCGTGGTATGTGTTATATGTGTACGTGTATCTTTTATGCGTATTTGATATGTTATATATGCACAGGTATCTTCAATGCATATGTGGAAGCGTATGCATATGCACATTTGTACGTGCATGTATACCTCTATTTATAATTGCCTTTGCTGATGTACACGGACGAGTATGCGTGTGATAATGTGAACACGTGTTTGTATTCGAGACGTGTTCAAATATCGTTAACCTGCCCGTAATTGGATGAACAAAATTGAACTGAAGCGAAGACAAACTATCGAGACATGAACGCCCACTGTTGAACACGTCCGAATGTGTGCTCAGTCAAGGCGTGTGTGTGTGTGTGTGTGTGTGTGTGTGTGTGTGTGTGTGTGTGTGTGTGTGTGTGTGTGTGTGTGTGTGTGTGTGTGTGTGTGTGTGCTGCAGTTGATATATCAGAATGTGCGTGTATGCATGTAAGATGCACTTGCGAATGTAAATAACGGAAAAAATACGAAAAAAACGGAAAAATGAACGGACAAACACACACACAAAACACACAAAACACACACAACCGCATTAAAAAAAACACAAGAACAAGTATCATTCCAAAGTGGACACGCGCAGGACCCCGAGAGCCCACGCACGCGCACACGCACACGCACGCACCTGCCTCCACTGCATCTCCTATTTACCGACCCAACAGCCGTCGTCATGGACCTTGAGGGCGACTTAGCGGTTGGACGAATCTTCATCACGTTTATGGCGAAGTTTAATGCGGGTTTTATTTATTTTTTTTGAAGGGGGGGGAGGGTAGTTGGTGAGGTATGAAGAGGGGTGGGGGTCTTAGAATGTATGGATGGGATTGGGGTTATATATATATATATATATATATATATATATATATATATATATATATACCACACACACACACACACACACACACACACACACACACACACACACACACACACACACACATACACATACACACACACACACACACACATGTATACACACATATATATATCTGTCCCCCGTTTTCATCTCTATCTGTCTGTCTGACTCTCTCTCTCTCTCTCTCTCTCTCTCTCTCTCTCTCTCTCTCTCTCTCTCTCTCTCTCTCTCTCTCTCTCTCTCTCTCTCTCTCTTAAAAGCACACAAGCACTTATAACAATCTGCACTATTGAGAGTCCATTGTTTACGCCCGAATGCACAGCAAAGGGAAAAACCATCGAAAAAGAATGATGCAAACGCCAACTTCAATTAAAAAAAACACCTCTGCGACAGTTACGTGTGCTCGCTCGTGGCAAACTCGCTCCATCCGAGGAACACGATCACCTTTGTCGGGGCTCGTAAAATATCCATCACACGCAGGCCACACCTCTCGATCTCTTTTTCCTACCAGAACACGGAGGAAACACCAACACTCACCTGGCGAAGGGATGTCGGGTTCTCTGTCTCTGTCGCCCTCGAGGGAGTCCTTGTCGCAGTCGGCGAAGATGTCGTCGATCTTGGACTTCTGGTCGTTCTTGGCCTTGAGGACGATCTGCGTGGACTGCGGCAGGATCGAGCGGTTGTTCTTGGGCGTGTCATACTCGCTGGCTTGCGTCGACGCCACGGACCGCACCTGCCTCTGGGGGGAGTCGTAGATGTGGGTGGCCGCCCGGGGGACGTCGTAGGTCGTGCCCTGCATCATGGAGTTCCCGCTGATGGTGACCTTGTTCGACCTTGACTTCGAGGACTTGAGGCTGCCGGACTTTTTGTTGCTGCTGCCGCCCGTGTCCAGGTTGGCGTACACGTTGCTGGACTTGGCCGTGCCGTTGACGTTCATGTAGGTGGGCTCCTTCTCGTCCACGTTCTCGTAGACGGGCGCGTCGAACTTGACGTTCTCGTAGTGGAGGTCCGCCGAACTGTGGACCTTGTCATAGTGGTGGTGGAGGCTGTGGTCGGTGGGCCTCGGGCTGTCGTAGATCACCTCGCCCTTCAGGTGGACGTTCTCGTAGTGGTTGTTGCCGCGACACACGTTCTCGTAGTAGGGCGTCCCGCCCACCAGGGACTCGGGGATCTGCTCGTAGTCGGGCTCGGGGACCCGCTCGTAGAGCGACTCGTTGGAGGAGGGCCCGTTGTACCTCACGCCGAGGAGGGACGACGTCCCGGCGGCGCGCGAGCCCTTGCCCTTGCTGCCCTTGTGCCTCGGCAGCGACGCCGAGTGGTACACCGGCTCCTGGGGACTCAGGAGGTCTGGCGTTGACTTGACCATCGTCTTCCTCGCCCTCAGGGTCTTCACAGACTCTAAAATCTCATCCACGGACGGCGCCCTCTGGAGCCTCGTCTTGCCACTTTCTAGCGCGTTGAAGTCCCCCGCTAGGCCATCGTGGAAGCTCTGCGTCCTCGATAAGCCGTACGCGGTGTTGCTGTACTCGTGAGAATAACAATTGAGTCCCTCCTTAAAGCTCTGCGTGCGAGTTATCGAATTAACACCACAGTTTCTCAAGATGCCGACTCTTTCCTTGAAATAACTTAAGTCTTCATTATCAAACTCGGAACCAACACTATTACTCGCATTTGAACCACACGACACACTCTTAAAATTTAAATATGGCTTCCTCCTTGGCAGCGTCACATAACCGCTAAAGTCACCCTCGCTCGTCTGCGTCTGCGCCTCTGCTGCGGCTGTGTACTCGGCGGCGGCGGCGGCGTGAGAGGCTGCGGAGGAGCGTCTAGGTAACGAGCCGTAGCTGTGAGCGACTGACTGCGGCTGCGGGTCGGAGGCGGGACCCGCTGCGGACACGACCACGGAGTTGCCGGTGCTGCCATCTATCCGCACTCGCGTGTAACTACTGCTCCTGCTCCGTTCTCCGCTGGGCGAACTGGAAGTAAAGATATTGTTTTATTAGTATTAATTTGGTGTTTGTGTTATTTCTTTCCCTACAGACGTAATAACTATCCTTTATTTGCCTTCTCTGGATTAATAAATCAAATATCGTCATCCTTTTATCTATTTCTTCTTGAAGCAGCAAGACTACGGCGAGAAATCAGAGGAGGAAAAAATATCTTCCGCTTCAACTCTACGGAACTCCCTCTCCAAGTTTCACGCTAGAATCCCATCAAACTCCAGATTTTACGTAATATAATGTCTATTTTCCCGAGTGTACCTGTTCAATCGGCCATGAAGCGTGAAAGATGAGTAGCTGAACCGGCAACGAATGAACACGAATTTCTGACGACGATACTCTGATTGCCACTTCCCGGGCGAATAAGCATCAATTACGGAGAACCGAAGGGAAGAAATATGGATATTTCAGCGGCGGTCAAGGTGATGTACATATGTTTAGCCGTTGGGAGGTGAAGGTACAGTTTCTGTAGTTGTTGTGATTGTTGTGATTGTTAAAGATGCAGCATACTACATACGTCTTTCGTATTTGATGCTATTAATGCAGGTTTGCAAGGACAAGGAGGCACTAATGACTTGTATTTTTGTCTTTATATTTGCATAAGAATTTACACCTGACTACGCCCATGACTTATAAGTTAAGATAATATATTTGTCCTAAGAACGTGTTTGTCCGATAATTCAAAATTTACATTTTCTTAAAAAAAATAGAGAATGATAAAACAAAAACATACACGAAAGATGGCCACATCTGTCGTGGGGAGAGTCACCCACATTATATCCATAAATAAAATCATCTTTGAAGCGTCGCATTTGCCTTGATTCCGGTATGACAAAAGTTCTATATATATTTATATCGAAGCGTCTCCGTTATATAAGAACGAACGCGTCATTCCTTTTGTCTGGTGTGTATGCAGTCATCTGCCACCTCGCTCTGTCATAGAAAAAAGCTGCCTGCCCTCCTTACCATTGTCTACGGATGGCGTCTTCTAATGAGGGTGCCATGAGCGCTGTTCCTAAGGGATTTTCTTAGTCTTCCTCACGACAATTGCTATCTTAAGTCTGTTCTTCTGTAGGTTTTCTCTCCCTGTTCCTCTCCGTTCGTTTCTTCCTTCCTCTTTTTCCTTCTTCATCTCTCTTTACCCCTCTCCTCTCTATTTTCCTTTCTCTTTCCTTTTTCCTCTCCCTTTACCACTTTCCTCTCCATTTTCCCCACTTATTCCTTCCCTTTTTCCACTCCCTTTACCCCTCTCATCTCCAACTTCCTCTCCCTCTTTCGTTATTTCTCCCCCTCTACTTCTACTTCCCCTCTCCCCCTCCCTCCCTTCCCTAAATCCTTGCACCATCACTCCTTTTCTCTCAATCCCAAGCTGTGGCATCCGCAACCAACCAAAGACCATCCATCACGTTAATGTCACAGAACACGTGTTTCAGAAATTCCAATCACAACAAAGGCCGCCACTGAAGAAATATTTCCCATTCGTGAATGCACGTACTAACAGTGGATATCCCCCCCTTGACAGAGAAATGTTTTGTGATGCACGTACTAACAGTGGATATTTTCCCCCCTTGACGAGAGAAATGTTTTGTGAATGCACGTACTAACAGTGGATATTTCCCCCCCTTGACAAGAGAAATGTTTTGTGAATGCACGTACTAACAGTGGTCAGCCGTCGTAGAGATCCCCCCCCCCCCTTAAAGACCGGCCATTCGAGTGTAATCATTCTCGTCTTTAATGGCCGGATGGGATACACGTCGAGATATTCGAAGACTTCCAAGTGTTTGACCGGACTTTTACCACTCTAACGGATTCGGAAACGCGCCAACACACCGCAGCCGCACACGATACCAACAACCACTGATCGTTTTATGTCACTGGGATTTTCAACTACCTCGTTTCGCCTCGACTCGTTCCGGGGCCAAGTGGTGGTCACAACCCTTCGGATAATAACACGGGAATCTATACCACAGACAATACGGTATTTTGAATGAGATATAAAGAGAAATAGAATTAGGAATTTTGATTATAGAAAAAAAAATCTATACCACAGACAATACGGTATTTTGAATGAGATATAAAGAGAAATAGAATTAGGAATTTGGATTATAGAAAAAAATAAATTATAAAAACGAAATGGAGGCCATCGCGGAAGCAGATATGTAAACAAAAACAAATAATTTACGGAAATAGAAAATGTCTTGAGCTTTGGTTAAAGTAAGTTACCGTGACCGAACACATGTCGCCTGAGCGGTTTATTGTGGTTTCAGGGGCGAGAAAAACTTTATCAAACAGAGAGAGAGAGAGAGAAGAGAGAGAGAGAGAGAGAGAGAGAGAGAGAGAGAGAGAGAGAGAGAGAGAGAGAGAGAGAGAGAGAAGTGAGAAAGGAAAGATAGAGGGGAGAGAGATGGATATGTATATATGCATATATATACACACATATAAACACACACACACACACAGATATATATTTGTATGTTTATATATATACATATATATCTGTGTGTGTGTGTGTGTGTGTGTGTGTGTGTGTGTGTGTGTGTGTGTGTGTGTGTGTGTGTGTGTGTGTGTGTGTGTGTGTGTGTGTGTGCAGTAGCAGATAGATAGATAGATAGATAGAGATAGATATAGATATAGATATAGAGGGAGAGAAAATGAAAGAAAGAATTAGAAAGGGAAATAAAAAAAAAAGAAAGACAAACAGAGAAACACAAGACCGAAGACAGGGAATCGAACACACTCTAATGACATGGTAACAAGAGAGTACTCCCCACCCCACCCCAACCAACCCCCACCCCCGCCCCCCCCCCCCATCTCTACCAACCTGTGGCGTCCTCGGCTCTGGTGCTCCTGCTGGACCTTGAGGGAGGCGCTGGAGGGTGACGTCTGGCACATCTCCATCAGGTCTGCGTTGGAGGACCTAAGTGGTGGCGAAGGAATAAATCTGATTTAGTTTCGTGTATGAACTGGGGACAAAAAATATAAACTCTAGATTATGGATAATGACTTTTTAATGATTATTTGTAAGAGAATTCCATCAAGTAATAGATATAGTCGTGTATGAACTGGGGACAAAAAATGGCTGGATTATGGATAATGACTAAGAGAATTAGTAAAATCATAATTGTAAGAGTATTCCGTAGATGAATTATAGTTTTAAGATATCAAGTAATAGATAGAGCAGCGATAGAAATACAATCGTGTATGAACTGGGGACAAAAAATGGACACTCTGGATTATGGATAATGACTTTTGAATGGTTATTTGTAAGAGAATCACGTAGATGAATCATAGTTTTAAGATATCAAATAATAGAGCAGCGATAGAAATACAAATGAATAAATAAATACGTAATCCCCACATACCACTTCAAATCCACACGAAACATTTATTTCCCAGTAATAAATCTGTGACAGCGAGACTAAATACCTTACGTAATTAGTCCACCAGAGCAATGAACCTCCTATAAACTTTTCACTAAATAGTTACCATAAAATTCTCTCTTTTCGTGAATGCAAATTGGTTATTAGAAATTGCTTTTAGTGTCTCCGTTTTTACTCGAACGGACGAAAAGGGGAAACTATAGAAATCGTAATTTTTTATTATATAATTCTGAGTTCCACGTAATTTATGAATTCTAAGGATGATAATTTTGAGAATCTATACGCAACGTTCTCATACCATAAATAAGAAAGAGAAAGAACAATTTTCCCTTTTTATACTGAGAGGGGAAGAAAGAGAAAGGTACAAATATGGATAGAGAGAGAGAGAGAGAGAGAGAGAGAGAGAGAGAGAGAGAGAGAGAGAGAGAGAGAGAGAGAGAGAGAGAGAGAGAGAGAGAGAGAGAGAAAGAGAGAAAGAGGAGAGAGACAGAAAGAGAGACAGAGAGACAGATAAAGAGACAGAGACAGCCAGACAAACAGGAAAAGAAAGAGAAAAAAGTGAGAAGAACGAGAAAGAGCGAAAAGAAAGAAAGAAAGAAAGGAAAAAGAAAAAAAAAAGGAGCAGCAAGAAAATAGGCGTAAAATTACCCTCCCCCCCACCCCCCACCACCCTCACATTGTTCACTCTCCGCCAGCCCATGAACACGACGCAAGGCACAGACCTCATGCTTGAAAAGGGAACAAATGACCCATGACCTTGCTCCCTTTCTCTCTCCCTTAGAAAGAGGAAAATTGAGGGAGAAATACGGAACAGTTTGTAAGGTAAGAGGCCAGCGTCCCGTGAAGCTCGGATAATGCGAGAATATTCGAAGAGTGGAAAGGGCTAATATCATGGTGAGTGGAGAACGGCAGTGGGGGTGTATTGAGTCCTTCCCCTCGTCTTCCCCTCTCCTCCCCCTTTTTTTCTTTTTTCTCTCTCTGAAACACGTAAGATGTACTTACGGAGGGGGAGGGGGAGAGGGGAGGAGGGGAGGGGCCTTCACTTAACGGTTCGGTTTTCAGAGCAATCAATCCGATACGGATGAACAGCAGCGGAGACAGGCAGTGAAATGTGTGTGTGTGTGTGTGTGTGTGTGTGTGTGTGTGTGTGTGTGTGTGTGTGTGTGTGTGTGTGTGTGTGTGTGTGTGTGTGTGTGTGTGTGTGGTTGTGTGTGTGTGTGTGTGATTTATGTTTTTATCTTTTCTTATTATCATTTGTATGTGTTTCATCTTATTCTATATCAATTTTTATCTATTCATTTTATTTTTTATCATATTTTTATGTTTTATGTTTGTGCGTTTCTCTATTCTCCACCTTCGTTATCTTCTTTCCCTTCCATTTCTTCTTATTCTCCTTCTTCGTTCTCTTGTACCCTTCCCATTTCTTCTATCTCAATTTCTCTTCATTTTTCTTGTCTTTTCTTCCTCCATTTCCTTCTCCTTCTCCCTTTTCCCTAATCTTTCCCTCCCTTTCCCTCCTTTTCTCCTCCCATTTCCTTCTTCTCCTTCTCCTTTCCTTCCTCTTCTCCTTTTCCCTTCCTCTCTCCCTTTCCCTCCTTCTCCCTTTCCCCTCCTCTTGTCCTTTCCTTTCCCTCTCCTTTCCTCCTCCTTTCCTCCTCCTTCCTTTCTCTCCTCTTCTCCCTTTTCTCCCTTTCCCTCCTTCCTTCCCTTTTCTCTCCTTCCTTTCCCTTCTCCTTCCCCTTTTCTTCCTCCTTTCCTCCTCCTCCCTTTTCTCTCCTCCCCCTTCCCCCCTTTACCCCCATGGACACTCACCTCACATCGTCCTGGTACTGAGGCCGACCGTTGATGAAGAGCACCTGCTCATACGTTCCCTGGTCCTCCAAGGTGTTGAGCTCGTCCTCCAAGTAGTCCCCACCTCCTCCTCCTCCTCCTCCTCCACCTCCTAACCCGTAGCCGTTGATGAGGTCAGCAGAGACGCCGTTGGGGTCATCCGAGGTCACGCTCCAAGCCTCGCTGCTGCTGCTTCCGTAACAGCTGCTGCCTCGGGATGACCTTCTTCGGGATTCCTTCTGGCGGTTTCCTGAGGGGGAGATGTATAGGGGGGGGGGTTAAGGTCAGCGGAGGTCAGAGGTCAATGGATGTAAAAGATGACTGGATATGAATGATTCAAATGAAGTTAATAATCGAATGATATGAATATTCCATTGCGGTGAACCATATATGAAAAAAAATAAAGAGAAAAATATAGGGAAAATAATAGTACAAAATGATAATAACAATGATATATATATATATAAATATATATATATATATATATAGAGAGATAGAAGATAATAGATAGATAGATAGATAGATAGATATATATACAAAATACAATCAAAGAATAAAAAAATTAAATGGTCCGACACAGACCCGACTTCTTACCCATGTGTGAGTTCTTCGTGTTATTGGCCACGAGATGCGCCGCCCTCTGGAAGAACGCCAGGGAGTTCTTGAAGGAGGCGCCGCCGGTGGGGGAGCGGGGGTCGGCCTCCGCGTCTGAGGCTGCGGCGGAGGACATGACGAGTCCGGAGTCGCGAGGGCTTGAAGACCTGCTCTCCGGGGAGTCCTTCTGCCGCGCCTTCAGGGCTTGCTGTTGGAGAGAAAAAATCGTATTG